CTTTTAATCGCAATCAAAATAAAATGATCCAAGGCTTTTTTTTTGTCTCTGTATTATATATTAAATTAAATAAATAAATTATATAAATATATAATATATATAAACTTAAGTTTTTTAATGGCTATTTTAAGCATGCTACTTATGCATTTGCTGGGGCTTTCTGAGTGTTTGCTACAGTATGTGATAGTTTGGGCCTCTCCTTCAATGTAGTTTAAAGCCATTTTTCCCATTATCATCTGCCAGACCTAAATGATAAGTCCAATGGTTTAGAAAAGTAATAGCACAGCTCTCCTCAAACATCCATGCAATTTGAAGTATCTTATTTCATGAGGTGCTGTATGAACTAGTATGCGCCCAAGTTTAATATAAACTTCAAATGCGTAACCCTAAATATAGCAAGCACCACTAACGATAATACTATATTCCATTTTCAGAGACAAACTCTCATATCTGTCCAGATTTAAAGATTATCCCAGGTGGTTAAGACTCACAAATTTAGCCCTACATCATGATTATGACAAACACCTTATTGGTAGATAAAGACGTTCGCTTTATTTTTCTTCCAGCTACTCTTTCCTCCCCCAAACTCAGCAAGAGTTACATATCTGATTCAAGCTCGCAAATCCCATTATGTGACTTTACTTAGCTTCAGTGTGTAGCAGCATGCCTTCTATTTGTTTCAATATGAGGAATGAAAATTGTGTTATATCACACTGCTCGATTTGTTAATATAACAGAATATTATTTCAAACCCTGCTTGTTGCAATCATGTTCTCTGAAATAGTAGTAAATCATATAATTTGTTCCCCATTCTGAGTCATAAGCGTGCTAGTTAAGCACAGAGTGTAAGCATTTTCCACTTTAGACAGACCTTGCTAAATTTTACCCCATTGTTCTTACACCTAAACATCATTAAAGCTCTGCTTTAACACATTCAGAGGCGTGCTGCAGACAGCTTAACGCAACTAATGTGGAAAATTCTCCACTGAGGTGCAAAAGTCGTCCCCGACGGCCACCCGGTGGTCCTGAGCTCGCCGAGGTCACGTGATCAGAATACTGACTAGGTTTATGGAGCCAGGAGGCACCTCACACAGGAAGGGTTGGTTACAGAGTAGCCTGACCGCATGTATCACATCTTAAAAAGGTACTTCAGCCCCAGAACATTTCACCTTGTGTGCCCTCAGGGCGCCTTCATGTCCAGAATAGGAAGTGATTCACAAATGAGAGTTTAGAGATTTGTTTCACTATAGACAGAAATGATGTGCCTGTTAAAAAATAATGCAAGTTCGCTTATAAAATCGAGTGCAATACAGAACTCCGGATGTTCCTGCTATTCCTAGAACTTCTAGAGTTCATGTCATAACTTTAACTAATTAGAAGCCTACATATTAATATAGAGCCAAACTAAATAGGTATTTGTATAACAAGACTGTTCAGCGACTTTAAGCATACCTAAACTGATTAACAGTGTCACCAAGTGGTAAACAGTATAAGTGCAGGCTTACCAACCAGTAGACTTAACAGTCCGATTCACTTGAGTGAGTCGGTTCGTTCCAATGAACTGGTTCAAATTCATTGATTCTTTCCATCGCTGTTTTCATATTCACAACCTGCACACGCACACACACACACACACAACAGAACCTGTAACAGTTTTAGCTGGCTTTCCAGCACAGTAAAGCTGGTCTGTTGGCTTTTAGAGGGGTTTTAGGCACTTTTCAGCTAGCCAGGTCGGGAAAACAGCTTTGTCAGGCTGGTTTGAAACGGCATCTTAAGACTTTGGGGAAGGTCAATATAACTTTAAAAATGCAGCGCTCCATATGCTCCATATAACACACCAGCACTAGATTCATTTTGCATTGAGTTTTACTCTCGGTCCTTCAATAATTTCTATGAACGATTTGTTAGTTTTACGTTTGTCACGTGACAAATAAACGACTCGAGCATCGAGAGGTAGACTAAATTTTGTTTCTTATAATTTATCTTTGGCTCGCTGTATTATAATGATTTCCAATGGTTTGGAGTATGATCAGAAATTGCTGCGTGAACGTGGTTCAAGGAATTCAGGTATTGCTATTTAACTCTGTTTAAAAGAATGAAATAACATAGCCTATTAGTCCTTTTGCCGAAAAGAAACGCGAAGTTCATGTCATTTAAATGATCCGATCTTTCCATCGACCCATCACTAATTTGCACACAAACTGGTTCGATCAAATGATCCCAGCCACCCAATTTGCACTCACACTGGAGCACAGAATGAAACGAAGGGAATGAGTGACACTGGACATAGCTACAAATTTACAACTAGCTGTATCTAATATTGCTGTTTGTTCATGATATTTAACATTTGTGTTTTCTGGTAGGCTACATCTAGCATTTTTAGCAAGCAAGTTAAAACAATTTCATGCATGTTTACTGTAATGATTCACCAATCATCTCATTTCTTATAACTGATAAATGTGAATTCTGTGACAGCATTTGTTGAAATTAAGACTGCTTTACTACTTCCTGGAAAGCTGGCCAAGAGTCTTCCAAGCACAGTAACACGTGCACTAGCCTCATTTTGCAGATAAACTGTGAAGAACCACTGCAGCACTTTTTAACTGCATCTCTGCAGTGTTTCAGCAGGTCTGAGTGTGGCCGACAGGACCACGAGAAACATTTCACCTCTGCTGAGGTGAAAGAAATCAATAGAGACAAATAAACCTCGGTTTATCCGGAGTCCACACGGTTAGAGTCGCTTCTCATTCTGTGTCAACCACCATCCTGCTCAAGACTCCAGTAAGTGAGCCGCTATTTGATATTATTAAATAAAAAGAAAAAAGAAAATCAACCGTTTCTTTTTTCCACCCCAGATAAGAGTGCATTTGAAACAAGAAAGCAAGGAGACCAGAGAAGGAGACAAAGTTCATTTAATGGCAAAACCACACATGTACAAGCATTGTAGAAAACCATATATTACAGTGTTTCATTTTATTGCTATGTGCATCCAAGACACATTATTCTACCAAAATGAGAGCAAATGGCTAAGTGAAAACATCATAATAGAAAAAATGTAAACATCATTTAAAGATATTGGCCACAGCTATGATGACTTCCCTAATGGCTTTTCAACTTTATTTCGATTCAAAATACTGCATCTCTGAACCTTGTACTGACAATGAGTGTGTTTACTTGCACAGTCTTACACTGATTATGCTTAATAGCCCAGCAGCATGTAAGGTCATGTAAACACACAAATGTTTTTTTTTTTTTTTTTTATCAGTTGAAGGTCATAAACTGTTTAAGCCACAATCCTGGTGGTTTATTTAGTGTGTGCATACTGTATGCAAACCAATAATTTCAAAACTCACATAAACATTTCTTGCATTGCCAGGATTGTTATGCATGTAAACACACTCAATATCTTATTAGTATAGTAATAAAAACCCCATGAAATCCTAAGTAGACTGGAGTTTTTGGTCCTGTTGGGGTAGGACGTTTGGAAAGGCTCTTCTTTTTTTATTTATTTTTTTAGGTTACAAAACCTATGTTTGATTTCAAGGGGCTTTTAAAGACAAAGTACTTGATGCTACCGTAAATTGCTGAAGACCCTGTAAATATATAGAAAAAGGATTGCATGTATGTGCTACAGCAGTGCAAGTTACCTTTGACAAGGATGAAACTGACCAGAATGATTGAAAAATAACCAACAATATTCATCATACAAACCACCAAAATATGTTCACATAACACCTCCTAAACAACTAATGCAGTGAGGAATGCACAAATAATATCCTAAAGTTAACACTTCACTTCATTAATAAGACCTCTGCTGTATTACTAAATGATTATGTTAAAAATAGCAGTAGATTAATTAGCAACCCTGTAAATACCCTAAAAATATCTCAAGACACTGTTATAGGGAGACTGCTAAATCTGTTACTATTTCAAACACTGATTTATTGTGTCTCTGAATGTGTGTTTGTGCATATATGTTGTTGGCTTAGATCATTCAGTGGGTGTTTGGTGCTGTTGGCTTTAAAAGGCAGATTGTCGTTGCTGTGCATTTTGTAATAATGGAATTAACGGTGAGCTTCGTGCAACTAAAATACATGTTGTTCCCTACAATGTGCTTTAGTTATTCCTTGTCACATAGTGCAGCTTATTTGTTTGAACAGTCTAGCATTCAAGAACCTTGTTGTGCTGATAATAAGCCCAAAACATACTCTACATAAGTACATAAACACCAAATCTAGTTTGATTTCATGCATATGAAATATGTCAGCATTGCCACAAGGGGCGTTATAGTAGGCAGTGTAAACGTCTTCTACAGTCATTTTTCTGTTTCAGCTAAACTACTGTCATGGCGGAGCAACAGTTTGAAGAGAATCATGTGCTAGGGCTAGCAAAAATGACATTTTACATTTAAACTGTTGACATGTTTGTAGCTAGCTACCTGAATTCAATTTAAGACAAACGTTTGAAGGAAACTCTACACCCTCGCCTATTGCACTTGCAGTGCATTGCAAGATTCACATTTGCTTATTTGAGTAGAGTATATTTCAGGCTTTAAGGTGCGGTCACATTAGCTACATTTTGAGGGCGAAATCTATTCCACATGATTGGGAATTTCGCATGAGGGCAAAAAAATTCCCAATGCAGAGAAGTTAGTCATGTCAATTCGCCGAGCTGACCAATAGGAAGCTGCTTGGTTATGATAAACTTCCTCACACAGTTTTCGCTAGTATTCAAGTTGGTTATGAAAATTCGCTACATGAGCCCAGCAGTTTTCTATAGGTTAGCTTGGCAAATTCATGTGACCAATTCGAACAAGCAAAATCTGTGTTCGAATTTTTTGCGAAAATCCCAACTCGCAAAATAGGTCAATAGCGTAAGAAGCACAGCTCACACAGAAGTTAGCAGATTTCTATTGCTCAGCATGACGGATTTGCATGACCAACTTGAACATGAGTGAAAACTGAATTCGAGAACTTTTTCACCCTCATGTGAAACTCCCAATTGTGCAGACTGGATTTTGATGCAAAATTTTACCAAGCGAAGTGAAAATTTGTGTTTTACTTGATCATTGAAGGCAACTTTTTCTGATGTGTAAACCTAAAGTTCTATGGTTAAAGAATCTCCTCCTCTTTTACATATAGAATCTCATGGGCGGAGCTTGGGACTTGATTGACACCTCCTACTACCAGTAGTCGATCACGGATCACAATGCTGGAGACAGAGCAACGTGGCGTCGACATGGGCGACAGCCTCTCCCATTTTCTTTTTTCGGGATGGAAGGCTTCGACAGTGTCCAGCACTGATGGCTGATGGCCTATAGGAAGAGAGCAGATGTTTGGATGACACCAACCGTGACCACAACTGTGCAGTAGATAAATATATTATGATGCAACTTCCATACCTAGGCCTCCTGCCACGATCATTCTGTCTCGCACTATGGCTGCGGCAAAGTCTGCTCGCTTGGTTTTCAAGGGTACGGTGTCCTCTGATTTCAACCAAGTTCCTACAAATCAAAACGGACACAAATAACAATAATAAAATGCTAAATATTAAAGGTGAAGTGGGTAATTTCTGCACCACTAGAAGCAATTTACAAGATGTCATTTTAGCAATGGCTTACGTATAGTTTGTACATTAAAATGGGATGCAAGAAAGTATTTTAACTTGGAATAAATTACACACTATTCACCATTAACACGGTGTGATATAAACTCTGACACAATAAATCAGATTTATACAATGAGTGAAAGAAAATTAACTGGCTTATATGTGATTTGAAACTGTTTAATTTGACAGCTTTTTCTAAAATGTCTAAAGAGGAAATGGAAATAAAGGGCTTTCCTACAGATTAGAGCCTGCAAGCTTGTCGATTAAAGCTGACAGACTGTTTTCCATTTGCAGGATCTAATATCTGTCTAATAACTAAGCCAATGGCTTGCCGTAATAAATGCAAGGACCATTTCTTCAAAAAATTACCGAGCTAGAACACTTTAATTGCTTTGAAAAGGAAGTTGGAGCTGTGCAGCTTTCTGTGTTTCACAGATGCAGAACGTTAATTTGGCACATTATTTACATTTCTCAGTCAACCTAATCAGCCAAAAAGCACAATCACAGCCAATAACACACAAACGGCATTAGAATAATAATGGTTGTTTGAGAGATGCCAGCTCCTTCTGCCATGCTTGTTTACATACTGTTGAAAAACATGTGATGAGCTTTTGATTGCAAAGACATGTATGCAGATGCTCACATCACTTATGTATATATAACTGATCAAAACCATTTCAAAATGCAAGAGCAACACAATTTTTTTTTAATTGCAGGCAATTTTCACAAATCAGGCAACCCTAAATTGCACTGCAACAAGTGATGTAAAAAAATATGGTGGTTGAGTGGAGATAAATTACATTATTTTTCAATTATTAATTAATTGATTATTAATACTTTCTGATAGTAACACACACACACACACACACACACACATACAGTATGTGTGTATATATATATATATATATATATATATATATATATAATAATTACTGACATATCGCTCGAAACTTACTGATATAAAAATTATAATTTAACTTTATTTGGAGTACTACTTAGCATGAAATAAATGTATTTCAAATACATTTTAGTATATACATTTTTCACTAGGGCAGTCATCAATGCTCGGTAAATATTGGTCACAGACACGTAGATTTACCTTAAATTTCACCAAGCTAATTACTCACTAAAAACCCCTATGATGTTTTCAGGCCATTTCAAGTCATTACAAGTCTTGACGTAACAAAATGGTTATATCTAAGTGTGTGAGTTGTTTACTTCTACTCACACACTTCTAAAGTACTTCTGTTTACTTTAGTTGTCCCATTAAAGCCATTATATTGTTCATTCAGACGGATTCACGATTTATCGCATGAACCAATCACAGCTGACGATAACCAGTCATTTTGCGATGGAGGCATTGCCTCCTCTCATGTGACTTTCCAACATTCATTCTCAATTACCCCCCAGCAAACTCACGTCATGCTTTAGGTGGTCTGTTAAAACTCAATAGACCTTTTTCACATTTCCGGGTTTCTCAGAAGCGGAAGTCGTCATAGTTGGGTAAACTTCAAGAGCAGTGAATGGGAGAGTACCACAAATATATTTTTTGCATTCCCATTTGCTCAAATATCAAAAGAAAAATTCCATGATAGTGTTTTAATGACTTGAGACTGATAACGGCAGTCAGAAGAGAGAACAATGTCAAATTTACCATCCCTCCCATAGACGCTGCATTAGAAACACCCTTGCATTAGCTTTAACTAGGTTTTTTTTTTGTAATTTGATGCAGAGGTGATATAATACAAAGTATAGTGTTAGGAATGTACATACATTTAAAAAAAAATCAAAATATAAAAAAACTTTGGAGGATTTACGATGCTGATGACCGTTGAAATGCGTCATCACAGTCTTGTGAAAAGGGTCCATGGGCTCAGGGGAGGCACGACAGACGCCTATTCGCCACTGTAACTTTACCTGCTGGTGTCACTGTTGGACAATGTTTCTTTAGAAAAAATAGTGATTTATACATTTTTTATTATTATATTTTGTAATATTGGTGTTGCTTTATTTTTGTACTGTGATTTTTTTTCTTATCCAATATTTTGAGGAGGCACAGCCTCTCTGATATATATGTGTATGTATGTATGTATGTATGTATGTGTGTGTGTGTATATTTTTATTTATTAAAAAAAAGATCATCCTAATTAAAACTGACCCAGTAATGACTTTCTACCCAATAGTTCTAACATCATTCATTTAGCATCATGCTGACATTGCTGTATAAAAAAAACAAACAACAACAAAAAAAGTTACGTAATGTAAAAAGGTCGACAAACTGTGGTTGTTTGCTTTACATGTCAGTCAGATGTTCTTTTCTGATATAAGTGGGTGCTTCTCACCCCCAAATTAGCTGCAATGTTGACTTTATGGTATTTAAAGACCTTATGCAATATTCATCCAGGAAGCTGCTTTAAAGGTAGTGGCCTGTGTAGTCAGTGGACAACAAGGATGCTCGCCGAGTTTGTTTTTCTCAATTGATTTTAGTTAAATCATTTATTGATGTTTTGCTGCAAATTTGGCAATTTGGATCAGGATCAAAGTGTCTAACTTGAATGAGCAATGAAGGGTCTGTCAGCTTTGGACAGGATATTGATTTCAGCCCTTGGCGTGCAATGCTCGCTCTGTTGTTGGCCGAAAATCTGACGCTTTTTCTGTTGAACAGTGATGCCCTTTCACTTTTTCTGATGCCAAGCATGCTTTTTATTCAGATGCAAACTCATATTCCCTTCAAACAGGTGGTGGGGTCCGTCCTGGTGCCTGTTCATTTGGCATAAAGTTATAAAAACATGCTGTTCTGGGTCTACCGCTGCTCAGTTACCAAGTATACAGTGTCAAGTTGGATGTTTAATAAAGAGCACATCCATCTTGCCTAGAACTGGGATTTTCTCTGGATATAACCCTCTCCACGGCAGCCAGTGTCAAGACAAAAGAGCAGATGGGCTCAACTATCTATCAGGATGAGCTCTGGATAAGGGATGACAATGTGTTTCTGAATAGCATCATTTAACGCCCCCTTCCTATCCCATGATCTTATTGCTTAGTTATATTAGACTGGGAGACTTGTACGCGAGGGCTTTATTGCCAGTGGTGGATCTGGGCAGAAGGAAATTAGATAGCGAGGCTTAATCCCTCGTGCTGCTCTGTGAACGGCGGCTCACGCACCTGTTGGCTGACACATGTGCCAGTAATGGAATAATTAAAAAAGAGAGAAATGATTCACACGGCAGTGTGCAAAGTTCAGTTGTTCAAGATGACCTCCTCGCTGCCCACTTATGATAGGAACTTTTTTTATCGCCCTTGGGGCCAAAAAAGTCCAATTTTCCCATCTGCTGAATCTGATTAGAAAAGATCAAATTTGAGCGGAAACGATGTAGAGGAAGAAAAAGTGTGAGAAGCTGGAGAGAAATCAATAACTCATTTCAGCAGGACTTACGTTTTGTCACACCTTGTATCTTTCCACCCCCTTTTTTTGGGTTAATCCGAGAAAACAAAATCTAATAAAAAGGGAACAGTTATCGAGATTACTAATATATTTTTGCGTTGAAAATTTTTTGCTGATATGCATTCAACAGCTAAAACTATTTTTCTTGGAGATTTCACAGATTACAACTAAGGCCTATGCCAAATGCACAAGCAGAGCTGATTTAATTTGGTGCCTATATTCACAGGTTACAGTATTCACAGAGTTTCAACACTAAGCATATTTTTGCAGGTTTCTTTCAGCATTTATTTGAAATATAAATACAATTTAAAATAAAATCTTAATAATCCCAAATCTGACTGAATACAGACAATTTAAAGGGATAGTTCACCCAAAAATGACAACTACTCCATGATTTGATGATGATACTCCATGATTGCCATGCACTCGCTGGTGAATGCGTGTATGACAGTTAGCGAAAGCTAGAGATTACGGTTTATAAAGTTTTTTTACACAAACGCATCGCTTCACTTCAGAAGGTCTTTATCAACCTCCTGGAGCTGTGTGGAGCACTTTTTTAATGGATGGATGCACTTTTTGGGCCTCCAAAATCTCGACCCCCATTCACTGCCATTATAAAGCTTGGACATTTTTTAATATAACTCTGATTGTATTCGTCTGAAAGAATAAAGTCATACACGTTGGATAGCTTGAAGGTGTGTAAATCATGGGGTAATTTTCACTTGTGGATGAACTAACCCTTTAAGCATTTTATAGCTTCATTTTGAAGTTTGGGCTCTGTTCTATCTGAATTAACGGTCATTTGGATGTAAATATGAGAGACATACTTTCTGACATGTCTAGCTAATTTACCTTGGTTGGTGTCAAAGATGTTAACATTCTTGGTAAACTTTGAACTTTGGTGTATTCCTCCTTGTCTGAGCCCTCCCAACCAGCAGAGACGCCCGGCGCTGTCCCATAAGACCCCAGAATAAGATCTCTTACAAGGCAGGCTGGGTAGAGAGGACCAGGTACGGCTTTCCATGTCAAAGACCTCAAACGCCTTCACCAAACGCTTACACTGACGTCCTCCTGAAGGAACACAGATATTGATGGTGAATGGTCATTTTTGCATGGTGAAGCACCAAGTATCTGGCATATTTAGAAACACAAATTCTATAAGCCAATTATCGTTTGGAGTTTTATTTCAGGTTTTTCGCATGTTTTTTAAAGACCATTTTAAGACCAAGTGAAGGAAAAATTGAAGGTAACAAATTATATCAATATGTTCTCTAAATACAAATGCCTAGGGAGTAAACAACGAGTTGTATTAGAAACAGTTTTGCCAAAAAATATTAAAAAAACACTTTACAAAAACTGCTAGAATATTGAACTATCTTTTACTGTACAATCTGATCACACTGCAAACAAAAAAAATGATGCTTTTCCTTAGTATTTTTGTTATTTTCCATTGCAAATGCCTAAAGACTTTTAAATAAAGATATATTTACTTGATAAGCAAAATGACGTAAGATAAGAAGTCTTGTTTTCAGAGAAACTTATTAAAACAAGAACAAATATCTGCCAGTGGGCTCAGAAAAATTCAAAGGAAAACAAGTTTTCCTACTCAAGTGATGGATATTTGTTCTTGTTTTAAGTATCAACCCACTTAGTTTTGTTCAGCTTCTCAGAAAATGACCTATCTTCATTTTCTGAAGTAAATGTATCTTGAGGATGTAGATATTTGGAAAACAAGACAAAAATACTTTACAAAATAGAGTATATGCTAAATTTAATGCTATGACTTCATGAATTTACAATTTACAATATTCATTGCCTTCATTTGTAGAAGACTTTCTAAGACCTGCAGAAACCCTCTTATTAATGTATTTTTTCAGATTTAGCAAACTTCAGGAGACATTTTCAGCAGTGTTGTCCCCAAAACTACAGCGAGGTCAGGAACACACACACACACACACACACACACGCGCGTAAAGTATTTAATGCACAAGGGTAGATTGCAGATACACAAGGACTCTCTCTGCTCAGCAAACCTGCCACGTAGATCTTGGAGCCCAGTAGGCAGACGCTGGTATCGTAGCGCGGGGTGGGCATGGGCGGAAGGAGTGCCCACACGTCCTTGCGAAGGTCATACTGCTGGAGAACACTTCTAGGCAGGAGGTCTGCTCCCATTCCCCCAACAGCAAGAGCTCTGCCGTCTGAACAGAGGTGAAGCGAGTCAAATTAAGGTCTTTATTTACAACAAAGAACTCTTTAACAAAACAGTCTCTCACCTTACAATGTCAAATACAATGTCAAGTAAACAATGAATAAATGCTTTAAATGTCATGTGCTGACAGAACTGCCACTAAAAAGAGGTGACTATTTAAAGTGACTGACGTGTTTTTCTTGTTTAAAGTCAACATGAAATAAAACCATTTATTTCATTCTTTAATACGCATTCTTTTTTATTTTGCATAATTCATCAGTACATATTATTCCAAAGAAAAAATTTATATTTTATACATTGAAAATCTTTCACTCAAACATTGCTAGAAAACTTTACAAATAGTTAGAAAAGATACAAGTAACACTGAATTATACAATCTTATAAAATATAATCTGTTTTCTATTTTAATATAATTTACATTGTACTTCTTTCAAAAACAGTTCAAAAAGTTTCAAAAATAATTCAGTCATAAATAAAACAAAGATTATTGTATAATTCAATGTTAATTGTTGTTTCTTTTCTAAATGTTTGTTAAGTTTACTAGCAATTTCTGAGTGAAAATTGTTTAAGAAAATCCTACACCTTTTTCAGTCTGTAAAATATACATTTATACATACAGTTCATTGTGTGTGTGTGTTTGTGTATACACACACACACACACACACATAGATTTAAGTTGCAATGTTTTTGAAAAAAGTTCAATTTAAATGATAAAACTTATTTTTAATTGTAATAATATTTCACAAAATTACTGTTTTTTTTTACTGTATTTTAAATCAAATAATTGCAGCCATGATGAGCATTTATTCTTCTTCAAAAAGAAAAAGCTTAATTATTCCAAACTTTTGACTGGTAGTGTATACACAGAATTCCATATGTATTCTTTTAATATTTATGTTATATCTTCACAACATTTATCAGAATTTTAATTGTTTTTGTAGTTTCTCTTCAAATTGTAATATAGAGACACTTTTCACTATCCATTAATATATTATTAATATATTATATAGATAAAATTAATGTAAGATATTAATTAAATAAACATAATTCAATTTACATGAATAAAATCAAAGTCCTTGCATTTTTTCATTGAATAACTGACTATATTTGTAATGAACACCACTCCATGTTGATTATAAAATAAGGTTTTTCTACCTTTAACAGTGACAGAAAGCCCCATGGACGCCTCTCTGAGCGAGCACCTCTTCCTCCATTTGCCTTCTTCTGTGTTATACACCTCCACGGCCTTCAGGGGGCGCTGGTCCTTCCCCATTCCCCCGACCACCAGCAGCTGCTTACCTAAGACAGCCACCACCGCCCCGGCTCTCGGCGTGGGCATCGGAGGGAGACTGAGCCAGCGGTCCACCTCAGGGGAGTAGCGCTCGAGAGCGCTGGTGGGTCGACCCGAAGCATCGCAACCCCCCACCATATACAGCTGCCCCCCAACATCAGCCAATGAGTGATAGACGCGGGCGCTGGAAAGACATGCCAGGCTCTGCCAGTGAAACTCATGGGCCGAGGGCACCATCATCCCCCCCAACGGTTGCTGTGCTTCCTCACGTCAGCTCCTGTAAAACATCAGAGGAGTTCGTTCACACGGCCAACTCTACATTCAGCCCACATCTAGAATAGCTTTGAAGTTTAGTAGTCACTGCTGTATCCGCTGTGTGCGATTCATACAGCAATTATGACAATGTGTACAGTGATTACAACATTCGCAATGTCCATATATTCTCATACTGTCGCCTACTATTCCCAGGCTGAGTGGGATATGATGCTTGACTCATCTCATAACATCTCTGAATATATATGAGGCTTCACTGGAGTGTGTTGCACTTTTCCAGCCTGTTCCATTTAGCTTTCACTAGCATTTATCCCAATATTTTAGTAGTATATGTTTATTCTTGGTATTTTGATTTATTCTTGGCTGTCTGCCCTAGAAACTGCTATTAGGGCAAACAGTCTTGATAACTGATTAATCTGTCCATTATTTATTTAACAATCAGTAAGACTTTTGTATAGGGACCAATTCTCACTACTGACTAGTTGCTTATTAGCATGCCTATTATCAGTGTTGGGGGTTAACTAGTTACATGTAACGGCGTTAAATAATTTAATTACAAAATAAATGTAACTGTAATCAGTTACAGTTACTAAGAAAAAATGTGTAATTAAATTACAGTTACTTGCAGGCGCGGCTCGTCTATATGTGCATGTGGGGCGAACATCCCTAATCCTACCCAGTACCTAAACTTAACAACTACCTTACTAACTATTAATAAGCAGCAAATTAGGAGTTTATTGAGGCAAATGTCGTAATTAATGGTTCGTTAATGGGTAATAGCCAAATGATTTCCTTCAAACATTATGCAAGTTCTATCTATCTATCTATCTATCTGTCTATCTGTCTATCTGTCTGTCTGTCTGTCTGTCTGTCTAATGCACTTCATAAAGTAAATACATCTTTATTTCATGTTGACTTTCTTAGTATAGTTGAGAGTGAAATAGATATAGTTTCTGCTAAAAACAAACACGTAATGTAATTAAAGCTTGTTTTTGTTTTCCCTTTAGCACATACTTATATACAAAGCACTATTTATTACAGCGCTACAATTATTGTGTAATCATATTAAGCCAAATAATACGGGAACTAATTACAGATGGCTAATGCATATCAAAGACTTCAACCAAGAAAGAAAAGCTCACAGTTGTTACAATATGTATCCCAGCAAACAAAGAAAGGCACATTTTGTGTTATTTATGGCTGTGAAGTCCATGGCTTAAGTTATGCAAACACTTTTTTTATGTTCTATTTTCATCCAAGTGGAAGCAGAGATATGGAAGACGGCCCAGAATAGCATCATCACTTGATTCAATTGACGCAACCAATTTCACACAACTGTTCTTCTCTCCTCAGCTGTGTACACAATGAGCTTGAAGTGGGCCTTTGTACCGCGGCTTAGCATCCAGCAGTATCCAGGCAACTGTGGTCTTCACCGCACTATATCTACCTCATTCCCTATCTTTCCTCAAGAAACCATTCCCATGCTTCCTGTACTACAGGTCACCTTCACTTACAACCCTCGCTTGAGCACAAGACTTAAAGATAATGGGAAAAAAATTAGAAATATTGCAGCTATATCATTTAAGCAGATGTCAACAAACCACACATTAGCTTCAAAGTGAAATCCAATTATTATTGAACAACCTGTTTGTTTTTAAATGTACACAACAAAGATGCTTCATTATGTGAAAGGACACGTCTTAATTGGACCATCGTTTGAAAACATCCTCTTTCCACAGTAGGGAATTGTAATTGACGTAAATAAGAGTCCATCTGAATATTTTTAATTGTTTTGTGTACTTTTAATTATTTTTTTTTTTAAAGAAAGAAATATTCTTATTTAGCAAGGTTGTAATAAATTCATCAAGTGACAAGAAAGCACAAAAAAGTAAATAAGCTGTTCTTTGAAAGAATCTGGGATAAAATGCATCACGATCACCCCCCCCCCTAAAAAAAATGAAAGAAAGAAAGAAAACAAAATAAAAAATAAAATAATACATATCTAAAATGATAAAGAAAATATACTTTATTTATAAATGCTAAATAAAAATATTTTACAATTGTAATATTTTAAATTGTAATAAAATTTTACAATATACAGTTTTTAGTGTATTTTCGATCAAATGTATTTTTGAATTTTTTACACTACATAAAACAAAAAAAATTACAATACATCTGTCACGGTGATGCTGCTGTGTAGGAACGAGGAGACGAAGGAGATCCAGAACAATAGTAGTCTTTAATAAAACCAAAATGACAGGGAACACACACTGGACGCAGGACTCAGAAAAACACAGGGCTTAAATACTTGGACTAAATGAGGAAATCAATGAGAAACACCTGAAATCAATAAACAAGGGAGAAACAAGGTAATGGGGAACACATGGGGAGCAAAACACAAGACACGGAATACAGGGGCAGTCCAGGGAGGTGACATTACCTCCCCCTCCTGGAAGGCGTGTCCACGTGCCTCATAACTTCCAACAGGGAGGGGGGGTGGGCGCTCTGGAGGCCTCTAGGAACAGGCTTACACGGGATGGATGGGACTATCAGTTGTGGGCTTGGGAGTGAATTGGCCAGCGGGTTTGACAATGGAGCGGCCGGTGGGCTTGACTTTGGAGCGGCCGGTGGGCTTGAACATGGAGCTGGCGGCGGACTTGACTGAGGAGCGGCCGGCGGGCTTGATGGCGGGCTTTACACCGGAGCGGTTCTGGATCGGGGCCGGACGCTTTCCAGACATCGGAGGATCCCTTCCCTCCAGCACAGTCCAGTGGTGTCTGGGAGGTCCACGGGGCGATGGTAATTGGCCCCGATCCAGAACAAAGAATCCAGCGTGGGGCCATCCAATGCTGTCATCGCCGCAAGCCCGCAGAATTCCCTGGCGAATTCAACGAAGGGGAGACCCCTACGGGCGAGGGCGGCAAATTTTGCGGCCGTTTCCATTATGTTTGTCGGGCCGGTCTTCTGTCACAGTGATGCTGCTGTGTAGGAATGAGGAGACGAAGGAGCAATAGTAGTCTTTAATGAAACCAAAATGACAGGGAACACACACGTAGCAAACAGAATAGACGTTTAGACTGGACGCAGGACTCAGGAAAACACAGGGCTTAAATACTTGGACTAAATGAGGAAATCAACGAGAAACACCTGAATTCAATAAACAAGGGAGAAACAAGGGGAACACATGGGGAGCAAAACACAAGACACGGAACACAGGGGCAGTCCGGGGGCGTGACAACATCATAATACAATATATATTATGAATTGAAATAAAAGAAAATCCAGCATTTAACAAAATATTAAAATGTAAACCTAAAGTACAGGGGACTTTGATCTTTTAATTTAATTTTTTAAACCTTTTTGTTTGTTTGTTTTTTGTAAACCAAGAACTGGACAAACAAACTAGTTCACACATTAGGGGCCAGATTCACTAAACAGGTCAAATTAGCGTTAGAGCTCAATTCCATAAAAGCGCCGATGGGAGAGGAAAATTCTGTGTGTCATTTACTGACAATGCGCACATTAAAGAACACAGACACAGCCAGATAATTTCCTTAATGACCAGCGCAATCTACCAAGCGCAGCGCAAATTACCGACTGCTTTAAGACATGCTTTTTGGCCATTAAATAATGGCGCAAATACCAGTAATTTGACAAGCGCAAATGTTAGTAAATCGCGCTGTGTGATTCATTTTTATACTCTCCTCCCATAAATTTTGCATCTGAAAGGGAAACTCCTAGAAATGCATATTCAATAAGGTCAGGCACAAAAATGACTGTGTCCACGGCTTTTCAGCGCTAATTCTTCACTGCGCATGTTTAGTAAATCCTGACAGTCCTATTTTAGCGCCAAAAGACAGTCTGCGCTGGCGCAAGCTGTTAGTAAATCTGGCCCTAGATTTTCTACCTCTGCCAATGAAAGCTCATCTCTGTGTCTCTGGATCAGGTTTCATTAAAAACAAATGACTTCTGGTTGCTCGCATTTTACGATTCAATGAGGTGTTAAAAAAGAAAAAAAGCTGAAACAAACTGAACTGCTAAAATTACTATGAAAAGAGTTGAGCTACTGTAAAGTTAATATATTGTTGCTACTGTAATTAGCCTACAATGCTAGTCATCAGAAAGTGTGAAAAATCTCCCCAGGATGCGTCTCAATCTACAGAAATGTTTCCATCTCAGTGCCATTTGCAGCCGTTCAGGTGGATGGCGAGTCTCTGATGGGCTTCTCTGAAAAGTTGATCACCGAGTAGAAGTGTTTGGCCGCTCTGTTCTCATTGTAAGCCATCAGATAGTACTTAAATATCGATTAAACTGGCTTATTACAGGTGGAGAGCTCTGGGCCTCTAGTGATTGTGTTAACTACACATAGACCCCTGAGAGTGGTGAACACTTCATCAAGTCTAATCACAGTGTAAAATGAGCTGATCTCTCAGTGTCTCTTTCTCTTGCGCTGGCACACAGGTTCAAAATATCACTAACTCTGTCAGACTTTCTCATTTTCTTTCAACATATTGCCATTTTAAGGGTGCTCACAGGACCAAAATCCCGTTCCTCAAGTATATTAAACATCAAACATAGACAAAGGGGAGCAATCGATTTTAAGAGATTGAGAAACATCATGTTATAAGACAAATCCCTCAAACTCTACAAACGCTGTCACACAAGGCTGCATTTATTTGATCGAAAATTCAGTAAAAGCAGTAATATTTTGAAATAATTTAAAATAACTGTTTTCTATTTGAATACATTTTAAAATGGAATTTATCAGCATCATTACTCCAGTCTTCAGTGTCACATGATCCTTCAGAAATCATTCCAATATGCTGATTTGCTGCAATATTTACTAGATTTAATTTTTTATTTAGTTCGTAATAATGAAAAACATATATTTATTTAATTCTTAATATATTTGTTTATATATTTATGATTGAAAACATTTGCCTAATATTTTTTAAAGAATTGTTTGAGTTCAAAAGACCAGTATTTATTTGAAATAAATGTAAC